TCGACGCGTTTCAGAAAGGCGGGGCATAGAGGAGAAACAATAATGTACAGTATGTGGAAAATAATGTTTTTTTAACCTTAAACCGCATAAACACATTTCATTACACCAAATACACAAAATAATGTTCTTTTTAGCAACATCATATGACCCCTTTAATAAATAGACATTTTTAATGATTCTATCAAGTTTATCCAAGCAACGTCCACTCAAACCAAAGTCAAATTATTTAAAATTCAAAAACAGTAAGCACAATTAAGCTAATGTGATATTTTAATTGTACTTTTCATTTTTTATTCAATATATTAATACAACATGGGGACATGAAAATGTGTTGCAATGACCCGTCTGCTCACACATGGAAAGCAGAAGCACAAAGAGGACCTGCCACATTTATCCCTCTCCTTTACAATGAGTGATGAATGTAATTAGGGTAAGCACCATAATCTAGCAAGGCCACTTAAGGCATCCCAACATATACCCATGCAAAGTGCTTCAGACACGAGTGTCAGGGAGCGCAACCCCTCTGTCTCAGTCACACACACGCACACACTTCCTCATGGCACCCATAGAGGACAGAAATGGAGATGAATGGAGCCCCAGCCACCAAAGTAATCAAAAATGCATTTTCCATATCTCGGTAATTGAATTGTGTACAAGCTGCAAGTTAATGAGGTCATCTCCCCTCCAGCTCTGACAGGAAAGCACAAATAATTATCTCCCCATTTTTCCTTATGTAGCAATTAATTTGAACCATTGGCAAGCGACCGCCGCCCCTCCCTGCTGTCGTTTCTCCTACTTTCTCTCCTGCTTGCCCCCCTCCCCCCAGCCTTTTCCCCCATGTGCCCCTTCCCGCCTCTCGCTTTCGCTGCTTGAATGCCTTCTGGTTAAGGCTGAGAGGAATTGACAGCCGATTGATGTGAGAGAGTCGGTGGGCGGCTCGGGGCCGACATGGGCGAGGCAGGCAATCAAGGCCCTACAGCTGTTACGAGGCTGAGAGGCTTCCAGGTGACTGTCACCTGAGATTTCACATGCTGGCACTCGTTGGGCACTGGGGGTGTGAGAGAAGTGCCAATGGGGCATCTGGTTCCAGGTGGAGAATGAGGAGGCCGGGCCGGGCCGGCGCTGATGATGTTTGTCTCGTGCCACACTGAAGAAGAATGAGGAACATAGCAAGAGTCTGAATTTAAATGACTGGAAGAGGAATACCGGTAAACTGAATTGTCATTCAAAGAAATTCAATACAGGTTATGCATTCTGAGAAATTAAATGTTCAACCATGTTCCTATCTATCTATCTATCTATCTATCTACAGTTAGGTCCATATATATTTGGACACAGGCACACTTTTTATTATTTTAGCTGCTGACAAAAACATATTCAAGTTACAGTTATATAATGTATATAATGTATAATATATAAATATGGGCTTAAAGCTTTAATTTGAGGGTATTCTATTCAAAATTGGAGGAAAGGTTAAGGAATTATGGCTCTTTAATATGTACCACCCCCCTTTTTCAAGGAACCATAAGTAATTGGACAATTGACTCAAAAGTCATTTCAGGGCAGATGTGGGCTATTCCTTCGTTATTTCTACATTAATTAAGCAGGTAAAAGGTCTGGAGTGCTGTTGTGAACCCACATCATGCGGTCAAAAGAGCTCTCCATGCAAGTGAAACAGACAATTGTTAGGCTTCAAAAACAAAACAAATCCATCAGAGAGATGGCAGGAACATTCGGCCAAATCAATGGCTAAATCAACAGTGTAGTACATTCTGAGAAAAAAAAATGCACTGGTGAGCTCAGCAACATAAAAAGGCCTGGACGTTCACTGAGGACAACAGCGGTGGATGATTGGAGGATCCTCTCCATGGTAAAGAAAAACCCTTTCACAACATCCAGTCAAGTGAAGAACACTCTGCAGGAGGTAGACGTGTCACTGTCAAAGTCTACAATCAAGAGAAGACTTCACAAGAGCAAATACAGAGGGTTCACCACAAGGTGCAAGCAAGGCCAGATTATGACAGGGAAGAAAAAAGTATGGAGAAGGCTTGGAACAGCTCATGATCCAAAGCATACAACATGGTGGAGCAGTGTGATGGTATAAGCATGCATGGCTTCCAGTGGCACTGGGTTAAACGTGCATATGACACTAACAGCAAACGTCCTATGTGAAACACAATGAATAAATAAATAATTACAGTTAGTAAGCTCTGTCATTTAAAAAAAGCTTTTTTATGCATTAATTATAAAGCTTTTACATTACATTACACACTACCTTTCAAAAGTTTGGGGTCAGTATTTATTTCATTGTTTGGTCCTTTAAATTGTTCAAAAATGTCAGTAAAGACATTTATATTGATTGTATGTCAAATGAATGCTGTTCTTTTGATCTTTCTCTTTACCAAAATGTCCTAAAAAAGAAGCAGCACAATCATGTTCAACATCGATAATAAAAATAAAAGTTTATTAAGCAGCAAATCAGGATATTATAATTATTTCTGAAGTATCATGTGACACTGAAGACTAGAGAAAAACTCAGCTTTGACATCACAGTAAAAATTCAACGTCGCCATCACAGGAATAAATTCAAAATGTATTAAAACAGAAAACTGTTATTTTCAAGTTGCAGTTATATAATGAATATGTGCTTAAAGTGCACACTCTGATCTTTAATTTGAGGGTATTCACATCAAAATTGGAGGAAAGGTTAAGGAATTTCATCTTTTTAATATGTACCTCCCCCCTTTTTCAAGGGACCATAAGTAATTGGACAATTGACTCAAAAGCTGCTTCATGGCAGGTGTGGGCTATTCCTTTGTTATTTCTACATCAGTTAAGCAGGTAAAAGTTCTGGAGTTGATTTTAAGTGTGCCATTTGCATTTGGAAGCTGTTGCTCTGAACCCACGTCATGTGGTCAAAGGATCTCTCCATGCAAGTGAAACAGACAATTGTTAGGCTTCAAAAACAAAACAAATCCATCAGAGAGATGGCAGGAACATTCGGCCAAATCAATGGCTAAATCAACAGTGTAGTACATTCTGAGAAAAAAAAATGCACTGGTGAGCTCAGCAACATAAAAAGGCCTGGACGTTCACTGAGGACAACAGCGGTGGATGATTGGAGGATCCTCTCCATGGTAAAGAAAAACCCTTTCACAACATCCAGTCAAGTGAAGAACACTCTGCAGGAGGTAGACGTGTCACTGTCAAAGTCTACAATCAAGAGAAGACTTCACAAGAGCAAATACAGAGGGTTCACCACAAGGTGCAAGCAAGGCCAGATTATGACAGGGAAGAAAAAAGTATGGAGAAGGCTTGGAACAGCTCATGATCCAAAGCATACAACATGGTGGAGCAGTGTGATGGTATAAGCATGCATGGCTTCCAGTGGCACTGGGTTACTGGTGTTTATTGATGACGTGACAGAGGACAGAAGCAGCCGGAAGAATACTGAAGTGTATAGGGATATACTCTCTGCCCAGATTCAGTCAAATGCAGCAAAGTTGATTGGATGGCACTTCATAGTACAAATGGACGATGACCCAAAACAACACCAAAAGCAACCCAGCGAGTTTTTGAAGGTAAAAAAAGTGGAATATTCTGCAATAGCCAAGTCAATCTCCTGATCTCAACCCAATTGATAATGCATTTTACTTGTTAAAGACAAAACTAAAGGCAGAAACAACAACAACAATCTATCTGTCTGTCTGTCTGTCTGTCTGACTGTCTGACTGTCTATCTATCTATTGTCTGTCTATCTATCTATCTGTTTGTCTGTCTGTCTGTCTGTCTGACTATCTATCTATCTATCTGTTTGTCTGTCTGTCCGTCCGTCCCTCCATCCATCCATCCATCTATCTGTCTATCTGTCTGTTCTGAAGATCTAGAAACCAAGGCTTTTAAAGTTTTGTCAAACCTTGCATTTTTAGTCAAAAAGTAGCTATAAAAATTCTTTAAATCTCAATTCATGATTCCTTGTTTCTTCATTTCAGTTAAATTCAAACTTTTTTACACGAGCCATTTATCCTGGGTTAAAATGCGCACTATACATTTGTTAACACTAGGTTAGCATTATTATTTGCTTATTTATAAATTTACTTAATGAAATCACTGTTTAGTTTCTAATTGGTTAATAACTCTCTATGCCATTCTGGCATTGCAAAGTTTTTCTGTATACCTATGGCACTGTTAACCCGCTAGTGTTGTTAACCCTACACTGGAATATAGTTTCATAATCCAGAGGTGCTAACTGGCTTTCAAAAACAGAAGTGTGAAACATTACTTTAGGGTTAAAAGCCACGGGTTAAGTGTGGTGTGAAAAGCCATGAAGAGGGTTAAAGAAGTGTGGAGTTAGAACCAATTAATTTACAATAAGTGGGTTATTTGTAACAATTAAAGGAGAGACATATTTATTTTTCAATTATAATTATTTATTTCCTTTTAGCTACTTTTCTTCATTTAGCTCAACCACGAAATCCCTCCATATGCTCTGAGCTTTAGTAATTGCTGTCACTCAGTCCTCAAGTATGTCTGTGGCGCTCTAATTATACAATCATCTGCAGTCATATCAAAGGGGCTGTCAGTGCTTTGTCTTTCATCTTCAGGGGGTTCTTTCTGAAGCCAAAAGGATGTCCGCTCACATGACTGACAGCTACTTTATCTAATCTCTGACAAATAGTGGCTTAATAAGCATCCTCGGCCAGGAGCGGCCACAGAGGATGTGTCAGTAATTGGGGTAATGGAGGAGGTTGGCAGATTTCATTGACCTCTGCCCTTCATTAAACCATTTTCCTTATCCAGCTAATATCATGTCTCAAGTGAGCCCCTCCACCCCTAACCAAACAGACAGTTTCCCATTGAACCTGAGATCTCACCTCAGCAGAGTGATACCCTGCCGTGTTTTCTGTATGTCCTTGAAAATTAGGCCTAATAAGTCCTTTGGTCCTATCTGGAAAGAGAAATGGCCCTCATTACCACATCTTTTCCTCTGTGGTGTTGATTTACACTGAACGCCAGTGAGCCAATAGGCCTGACCATTTACCATGGTGTCCCCAGCAGCCCTGACACTGTTACTCCTTCGACGCTGTCAGCAAATAAGAATTATGAATTATTCAGCACTTGAAAGAAGTGTTTGTTATCCACAGGCATAATGAAAAGGAAATGTGCATTCGTCCTGAATTATTGTAAATGACCAAATATGGGATTACCTTTCTGCCTCAGTAGTTGCTGAAACCAATTCACCTGCTTAGGAAAAAAAAACGGATGGAGGAGGTTGTGACATCATAGTAAACGAGAATTCAGAAATATGCATTTGATGTTCACTGAGGCAGTAACTGAATTCATTCGTTTGATCACGCAAACTGGGCGCTCCCATACATGTAACTGCTTAATTTCTTCATCCCACCAAGTAAATAAAGACGTTTTCATGTGTTTTAATGAAGGACAAGTGTGTCAAACCCTGAAAATGACATATTGTAACTTCAACCTGAGGTCTAGTATAGCAAAAAATGAAAATTCTGTCATTATTTACCATTTTCTAAGGATGGGTTGTAAGGAATTTAACAATTCCAGTTCCCAGTTAATGATTCTTTTGAATTTGAAGTAAAAAATATTTGGAACTAATTACATTTTAAAATAATAAAGAACAAAAGATATGCTAACATCATTCTTTTACTTTTTGTAAAATATCACTGACTCATAATGCGTAGGCTCTCTTTAATTGCGCATTTTCATATTAACAACCAGTCTGTTCTTGATTAATTTAGCCTGACATAATTCAGAAAGTGAGTCAGATTAATTGAGACTCTGCTCCAATCTTCTTTGTGATTCACTAAAAATAACTGATTCATAAAAGTATTCGCTTGGGATTTGGACTCAACTGGTACATAACGGGTTCTCCACACCCTTTTCATAGGGGTAAACTAGGCCTACCTACTGCGTGTTTACGTAATAACGTAAGAAATTAGTAACGCTCGTTCACCCGTTTACATTGTCTGAAGACTTGCCTCAGGAATACAATTGAACGACGAACGACAAAATGTACTTGCTCTGATGAACATCCATCACCATATTCGGTAAATGCCGAGGAAGACGTACTTAAAGAGCTCAGGCAGTCGCAGAATGAACTTCAGATAGGTAGGAATATAATTTATTTATTTTTTGGGAATGACCAAAATAGATGATTCTGAAAAACACGTTTTATTCCCTGTAAAATACTGCAGGCTCTCGAGTTGTTGACAACGCTATCTGTGATGAATCTCAGGCTTGATTTCTAGTTAGCCTTCTACAGGAGGAAAACGCTTAACGAGAGACTTTGTGCATTGTGTTAATATTCTGCTGTTCTGTGGCCACGGAATTGCGGGTCTTGTCTTTTTCTTGCAGGACCCATCCATTAAGCCACGTTAAGAGTATTCTAAACGGTGATATCAGGTAAATTGGGCCACTTTTTGGTTAATCGCTTGGGACACTAACAAAAAACCCATGTATGACATTTAACTGTGTTCTTATGATTAATAAGGACTGTTTTTAATATTTTTGAGTTGAATTGATGTAATAAAATATAATAGTTCAGGCCCTACAGGTTTTGAAACATTAGCTGCCCCACATTTATTTGAGATAGTGTTCAGGTAAAATGGGCTGGCTGATCAGCAAAAATGGGCCAGTCAAACTGTAAAGTGAAATAGAGACATTGCGGATAAAACACATTTAATTATATTTAATTTTATAATGTAACAGTGTAATCTTGTCTCCATTGGCAACAGCACGATTTGTGTCGACTGCAAGTGACGTCGCAGGTATCGGAGAGTGCAAGCGGCGACTGCAAGTGACTTCGTAATTTAGTTTCTTTTTTCTTGTCTTCACCACCTGGCTACTGTTGTAAAATGTTGAGAGATTCAAACAAAAAGAATAAATAAATAAATAAATAGAACAAAATAAAAAATTATAAAGACTGCAAGTGACGTCGCTAGCGGAAGTGCAAGTGTCTGAGAGTGCAAGCCTGAGAATGCACGTGTGAGTGCAAGCGCCAGCTGCAGCCAGACCCCTCTCAGTTGGCCCGCTAAAAATGCTTATTCTGCTTATTTTGCATACGAGACAAAGTTATGCGTGCCCCCTGACGGTCTGTAATCGATTCACTAAAAATAATCGGCTTGTAAGAGTCATTCACTCGGGAATTGTAGGCTACTTCACTGGCCGCGCTTTATAATTTAACAAAATGAAGAGGCTAATAATTGTTTGCTTGAGAATCGGACTTGATTGGTCGTGCTGTATGTTTTTGACAGTGGTGGACAGTAACGGAGTAGTTTTACTTCGTTACTGTAGGGTGATATCAGGTAAATTGGGAACAATGTAACAGTGTAACATTGCTATTAAATTACATTAGAACATCAATTTGAAATACATTAAAACATCAATTTCAATCAATTTCCTCAATAAAACAAATTTCATAAAAAAAATTTAACAATAACAAGTAGTGTTATGGCAACAGTTTAAAAGTTAACAGCCAATGACTGCAAAGAATTTTGAAGAGAAGAGGTAAGACACTCAAACCTTTCAGTCAATTTCATCAATAAAACATAAATTTAATAAAAATAAATGTAACAATAACCTGAACAACTAGTGTGTGTGTGTGTGTGTGTGTGTGTGTGTGTGTGTGTGTGTGTGTGTGTGTGTGTGTGTGTGTGTGTGTGTGTGTGTGTGTGTGTGTGTGTGTGTGTGTGTGTGTGTGTGTGTGTGTGTGTGTGTGTGTGTGTGTGTGTGTGTGTGTGTGTGTGTGTGTGTGTGTGTGTGTGTGTGTGTGTGTGTGTGTGTGTGTGTGTGTGTGTGTGTGTGTGTGTGTGTGTGTGTGTGTGTGTGTGTGTGTGTGTGCGTGCGCGCGCGTGCGATCTGAAGGTTTCTCAAAAACGGTCTTGACAGATAAAGCCATCATCATCAAAAATGCCATTCTCTTCACCACACATACACATCCTCACTAACATGCACACACAAACATACTGTGAGCTCACACCCAAAGCGCACGCACATAGAGCCGCATCTGAGAGTGCGCGACTACAGAATTAAGTTGTGTTGCGCCTTATTGCTTGTAAACGGCAAAATACATACAAAATTATGTCAAAATGCCCGTCTTGATGAGTATTCACGTAAACAGTCAATTTATACTAAACACTGTCGGTTATAGGCTATTAAATGAATGTAAACAGTTGAGAAACAAAACTTATGTGTAACAGTTAGGTCCGTGGATGAGGTCTTAAAGAAACAGCAACCAAAATAAACCTTCTGCTGTCTGTCATTAATGTTTAAGTATACACTGAAGACCAAACAGTGTTATTTTAAAGTTAAATAGATTATTTAGTTTCTGTGGTATTTCTGTACATGAATATTACTGTTATACCTACCTGAAAAACTTAAAGCACAGTTCATTTTAGTTGTATCTTGTTATTGTATTTGCTTGTGCCATTGCTTGTCATTTATCTATTCTTATTTTATTACTGACTGTTTACTTGTCTTTTTAGTTCAAATTAATTCAATTCAGAGTTTGAGATCAAAGTTCTTTTTAATGATCTTCCTCACAATATAAATATGAATCAACAACATTATAAATTGATTTAAAAATCCCCCCATAAGAGAATCCCCCCCAATTTTCCAAATTGAAATTCAAGCCCTATATATATATATATAGGGTGATATCAGGTAAATTGGGCCACTTTTTGGTTAATCGCTTGGGACACTAACAAAAAACCCATGTATGACATTTAACTGTGTTCTTATGATTAATAAGGACTGTTTTTAATATTTTTGTGTTGAATTGATGTAATAAAATATAATTGTTCAGGCCCTACAGGTTTTGAAACATTAGCTGCCCCACATTTTTTGAGATAGCAGTGTTCAGGTAAAATGGGCCGGCTGATCAGCAAAAATGGGCCAGTCAAACTGCAATGTGAAATAGAGACATTTCTGATAAAACACATTTAATTATATTTAATTTTATAATGTAACAGTGTAACATTGCTATTAAATTACATTAGAACATCAATTTGAATTACATTATTTCAATCATTTCAATCAATTTCCTCAATAAAACAAATTTCATAAAAAAAATTTAACAATAACAAGTAGAACAGTTTAAACAGTTTAAAAGTTAACAGCCAATGACTGCAAAGAATTTCAAAGAGAAGAGGTATGACACTCAAACCTTTCAATCAATTTCATCAATAAAACATAAATTTCATTTAAAAAAGTAACAATAACCTGAACAACTAGTGTGTGTGTGTGTGTGTGTGTGTGTGCGTGTGTGTGTGCACGCGTGATCTGAAGGTTTTTCAAAAACAGTCTTGACAGATAAAGCCATCATCACCAAAAATGCCATTCTCTTCACCACATACTCTTCAACACACATACACAGCCTCACTAACATGCACTCACAAACATAGTGCAGCACACATAAACACACATCACATACAAACACATTTAGAAGGTAAAATGTGAAAAAGGTATGTCACAAATTCAATAATACAATATATAAATAATATAAATAATTTTTAATAAGAGAAACCACCAAAATTTCTGCTTAAACTCAACTCAGAAGGTGGCCCATTTTAACTTAAATTAATGGCTCATTTTATCTTAACACATTCAGGTAAATTGGGCCAGTGACTAAAAATGCTTTTTTTATATAAAAATCTGGATTATTTAGCCAAATCAGCATTTTATCTCACAGATGCCATCAAGACATAGGTTATGAATAATTATTTCATTCATATATTTCATAAAACATATCGTTACTCCTTATAATATATCATGTGCTCCGAGACGCAGACGCGGTGAGAAGGTCAAGAACGAACCCTGGCGCTTGCACTCTCAGATGTCTGAGAGTGCAAGTCTGAGAATGCACGTCTGAGAGTGCAAGCGCCAAGCTGCAGCCAGACCCTTTTGGACGCGGTGTCTGATTCATGAACGAACTGATTCTTTACAATGAACCTTTTAAATCGGTTTGCAAATCGCACCAATCGATTGCTGTTCTCGAGTCGACAACTCACTGATTCAAATTATCCGTTTAGTGCGAGTCTCCAGTGAGTGAACTGAATTTACAAGTAAGAACCGGGAGATCTTGTGAGAGTGCGCACGACGGATGCTGCTAAAAGTAAGTTACTAATGTCGAATTTT